GCCTGGTGGTGCCGGAGAGCCAAATCCGGGCAACGCCGGAGAGCCAGAGCCCGGCGGTGCCGGATGTCGGAGAGCCAAAGCCCGTTTATGCCAGAGCGCCGGACGCTGGTGGTGCCAGAGCCGAACCTTGGTGATGCTGGAGAGCCAAATCCCGTCTGTGCCGGAGCGCCGGACCCCGGCAGCGCCAGATGTCAGAGAGCCAAACCCTAGCGGTGCCGCAGACAGGATCCTTGGCGGTGCGTGGTCACCGGATCCCGATGGTGCCAGATGTCGGAGAGCCAAATCCCAGCGGTGCCGGAGCACCGGATCCCGATGGTGCCAGATGTCGGAGAGCCAAATCCCAGCGGTGCCGGAGCACCGGATCCCGATGGTGCCAGATGTCGGAGAGCCAAATCCCAGCGGTGCCGGAGCACCGGATCCCGATGGTGCCAGATGTCGGAGAGCCAAATCCCAGCGGTGCCGGAGCACCGGATCCCGATGGTGCCAGATGTCAGAGAGCCAAACCCCGGCGGTGCCGGAGCACCGGATCCCGGATGGTGCCAGACGTTGGAGAGTTAAACCCCAGTGGTGCCAGCGTGCCGGATCCCAGCGGTGCCAGGTATCGGACCACCAAACCCCGGCGGTGCCAGAGCACCGGATCCCAGCGGTGCCAGACATTGGAGAGCCAAACCCCAGCAGTGCCGGGTATCGGAGAGCCAAAGCCCGTCTATGCCGGAGCACCGGCTCCCGGCGCTGCTGGGTATCATCGAGCCAAACCCCGCCGGCGCCGCTCTCCCCCTCACTCCCAATCTGTAGGCGAACGGATAACGAGAGGCGCCGCGTTTTTCCTGCCGGCACGGATCCCGGGGTAAAAAAGCGGCCAAATCTTTTCGGTGAAAGTATCGGTGAAGGTGTAAATGTGGGAGCGATCGGTAACGTTATAGAAAGCCACTTTCCCGGCTTCGTAGTCCACGAAGACCCCCACCCGCTTGGGTTTGACTCGCACCGTCAGCGGGGTGAAGGGGGTGGTGGTGGCCGCGTACTTATCGCCGTTCCAGAGCCGTACCCGCCAATATCCCGTCTCCGGTAACGGCGTTAATTCCCCTTTCCGACTCACCGAATCCTTACAAACGCCGAGAGCCCAGTGGGTTTTATCGCCGACTTCCACCTCCCAGTAATGACGGCCGGAGGTAAAACCCTGCGCCGCCAAAACGCAGGGGTAGATGGTGAAACGTCGCGGGGTGTCGGGTAAATCCCGGGGTCGAACTTCCACGAAACGAACGCTTTTCCGATCTTCCGATAAAACCAGGTTGGGATGAGCCGTGTCCGGATCCAGCGTCACCTCGCCTGGACGGCAAAGGGGGGATTTTTAGGGGACGGGGAGCGCGGTGAGGGTG